AGATGATGGCTACCTACCTTCTCGAGCTTGCCGAGTGATTCTTTCGCTCATCATTTCACTTCTGAAGTTCATTGTTTTTTGATAAATTTTTGTTATCCTGTTATTTACTGTGAACACTACATTTTGCAACTGTTATAAAGACCAGATGAGTTAAGCGTGCAACCCGTTCAAGATATTGTCAAGTGAGTCAGTCAGAATTCACAGGAGTTTATAGGTGTCTGCGTCGGGGAACCAGTAAGATGTCCTTTGGGCCGAACGGCACCCTGCGCTACCTAGGAACTGCAGAGATTGGAAATAGTCATTATGCATGCGAACGAGGTGGCATGTTAGAGGCGTGGATTGAGGCGGAGCCGAAACGGCTTTTCCCACCGGTTGATACCTTCTTAAACGCCGACCAATGGTGGATAAGGCTGCCCATTCAGATCCAGACCACGCCCCTTCACACGCCCCTCCTTTGCAGGAATAATGACTGTATGTTCATGAGATTGACTCATTGTCAGTCTCAGTAAACCGAAGCGAAACACTGGAGCTTCGGTGAAATTTTCTTGGTCTGGTCCTCTAAGTTACGAGGTAAATAAACAAAACAGAGTAAAAGTAAAGTAGCGTTTTGAAAGCTCTTATTCGTTCTCGTGTCCAGATGTGGAATGTTTATACAAATCACAGATGTGATCGTAATTCGTGTCGATAATCCGGAAGAGGGTTAGTATTTCCAAGGAAAGCGTTTGAAGAACGCTACGGTATTTGACCAAATACGAGGTTGACTGGCTCCATGTTGAGATGGTTCACCACCATACGCTTGCATACATCCTAAATGTATGGATTATTTTGGAAAGCTGGAAAATTGATCCCCATTGGTCGCATAGTCTTATTCGCTGCGGATGATGGGGCGTGTCAGGAGGACGAGTGTCGCGACGCCAGCCCGTTTTTCCTTTTTTTCTCTCTCTCGGCAAGCGACGAGACTGTAATTTCCTTCGTATCAGTCGTTTTGCAGCAGTTGTTGTTTATGCGCTTCAACAACTGCTGCAGGACGGGCTGGCAGCGCGCCAAACCTAGCCTCACTGACGCACTCCGTGAAATGACCCCATGGGACGTGTTTGCCCTTTAGGGGAAGGGGTAGTACTTTATCTCCGGAGAATTTTAACGACTGCTTATCGCTTGCGTTTCACGCTAGCTCTTACCCCCCCCCCCACCGGCGTCGCCCACCCGTCTGGAAAGGAATTTTTCGGCTGTTGGTTTATCGTCTTTGTCTTTTCCCGTTTCATGAGTATCACAGACTTGTTCGGGACACTGGAATTTTCCGTGAAACCTTGTCTGGCGCGGCGGCAGTCTGTTCTCCACCAGTTGTGGAAGCTGGCAGGCGACCACAATTGGTTAACAAGCTGGCACTGCGCCAAATTCAGTCCCCCTTCCACCTCAGACACGCCTCAGCGTCGCAGAGTACAAGACTGTATATACCACTCCTCCTAGTTGGCGGCGCCGTCGAAGTCGTAAACAACTTCTACTTCCGGTAGCTGAAATAAGTAGTTTTTCAGTGGCTCACTTCCCTCCCTCCTCTCCCCGCCCGCTTAGGGTAGTTTTAGAGTACAGATTAGAAAACTTTCAAGAGAAGTGGTGTTAAGTTGGGAAAACGTGGGATGATGATAGGTAGGATAGGGAAGGTGCTAAATCTGGAACCTTGTGGCATCGTATGACACCGCCAGTTCTCCCATCCCGATGCTACCCTGCTCTGCAGTTTTCTTGTTCTAATAGAAAACTCTACGTACGTAGCCTGCAGGAAAGCTCTCGCTGGAGTGACAATTTTAAACCTATGGGAGACTGAAGGATCAGTCCACACTGATTCCATGAACAACGACAGAGAATGGCTATGCCTTCCTCATTGGTACAACCCTCACCTTTACTTTTTTCAGGGGCACAACTATCATGAGAGCGCAATGAGTGGGCACGGGGCTGACGACGGGCGGTTACTGTTAACGCCATTGGTGGAAAGGGTGGGTGGTGTGTGGCCAGACGCCTTCTCACAACCCTTTCACAATGACGTTGGCAGTAACTGCCCGTCGTCAGCGATCGTGCCCACCTCCTGAGTTTGATTACCACGTTTTCAAGTGGCGTACAGTGCCGTCGCTAGAGGTTAGTGATGTAAGTGATGGACCCGGAGTTGCACCCAAGAGGCTCTCTCAGTGGGGTGTATAGTCAGTCTCGAGTCGTAGGAGGAGGGACAACTTCTGAGATCGCACAGACTACCTGTGCATAGAAGGGATTCTACCTAGTAAGTGATTGTGAAATACGTATTTACATGACATGATAGTTATCTCACTGACCGGCGAACTTCGAGTAGACGATCGGAAGAGGGGGGAAGTACGGAGGCTCCATTAAATGGCCACCTGGAGCAAAATCCACTTCGACGTAGTGTCCGCTATTTTTAAGTCTGCTTTCGTAATGGCGACTAATGAACACTGTCGGCGTTGAGTAATCGTCCAACGAGCCCTAAAACATCGACTAAAAACAAAATGATTA